CCCCCTGGCTCCGGCGAGTCCCCGCCCTCGCCCAGGGACCCTGGGAATCGAATCCTCAATTTACAACCCTGACAATACCGACACATGCAAGGCGCCGGACTGATCTGTCACCGCAACAAAGATAGGCAAACGCGGGCCCCTCCCCACCCAAATGGTTGCAGAGGGCTGTGTAAGGCCACTTTGACATCATCTCCTGGGGACTCCCATCAGTAACATGTCCTGTCTTCTCCCCGGATAAATCCCCAAGTCTCACATTAAATACATTTCAGCCAGTAGCGCGCCCCCCCAGCTAACAGAGCAGGAGACAGAGAGAGAGACATGCAGTGTTCACAAGGACCAGAAGCCAGACTCCCTGGAGATCCACATGGGGTCGGTCAGCCATCCTCCAACCCGTTGAAATTTGAATGAACGCGCTTGGCACTATGGCCAGGCTCACTTGCTGAACACAGACCATGGCGTGTGCTTGTGTTTGTGAGTCGACAGATCACAAGCCGACCTTGACTTGGACGTGGCCTTGCTGCAGCCCGTTAGGCATGAGATGTGGCAAACCTCATGAGGAAGGAGCTGCCTGCAGGTTCCATGCTGAAGATGGGGTCAGGCAAGCTCATAATGATGAGTTAGGCCGTAGTAGGAGAGCCTTTGAGGACCAAGGTGGTCTTTTCTGGGTTCATCGAATCACAACATTGGAGGGGCAGAATGGTCCTTCAACATCAGCTGATAGAACCTCTTTACCTTACACAAGAGGCCACCAGAGGCTGAGAGAAGGGAGACCATTTGCCCCAGGCACCTCCCCTCCTGGCAGAATTTGAGTGCCCCTCAGTGTAAAAGTGATGCAGTTTAGGTGCTGGAAACTGAATTCAAATTGATGTAGGTAGAAAGGGGTTGAGCTGGCTTCTGGTGCAGCTGAGTCTTTTGCATCTGTTGGCTCTGATTTCTTCAGTGTTGGCTTCACTGATGGGCAGCTTTTCCTCATGGCAGGTCAATAGCAGTTCTAGGCTGACAGCCTCAGCAGAAATAGAGCCTTCCTAGAACTTACTGGTTGGAGCAGAAATCTCAGTCTCCCTGGGCTGATTTGATCCTTTTGACCATCTCGAACCAGCCATTGTGGCTGGAGGGATGGATTGACCAGATCTGGGTCCCAGAACTTGGTGGGTGACTCATCTCAACTCTGTGGACTAAAACTGGAGAAGAGACATTCTCAAAAAGAAAACGAAGGTGCTCTCATCAAAAGAAGAGATGGATTCTGGGTAGGCTAAGACAACATTACCCACATCTCCACCCTTGAACTTGTTCCATTCTACCATTGCCTCACCTCATGGGGTATGATTGAGGATCTTGGTGGTCCTTGTTTTTTTGCCTCATCCTGAGTGATAGATTCTCATCATGGGCTGGGGGAGGGTGGAGGGTAACAAGAACCTTGCTGGGATTTCTTTAAAAAGAGAGAGGGAGAAAAATGTGCTATAACTGTCTTATGCAAAGTTCTCTGCACCCTTCTTTTCCCTTACCCACCCAGTGGCACTTCATGGTGTCGAGAAGGTGTAGACTGAAGAAGTCTTGGGAAGGGGAACAGCACTGAGTCCAGTTGAGAGTCCTGGCCTCTAGTTCTAGACAGTCTGTCACCAAATTGCTGTGAGGCCTTGAGCAAATTCTTTGATCTAATTTTTGGATATTATGAACAATATTGTTATGGACATTTGTGTACAAGTTTTTATGTGGACTTATGTTTTCAATTTCTATATCTAACAGTGGAATTGCTGAGTTATAGGAAAACTCTGTTTAACTGTTTGAGGAACTCTGGGCTGTTGCCAAACCTACATTTCTGTCAGCAATGTGTGAGGGTTCTATTTTTTTCACATCCTTGCCCTTACTTGTTATTGTCTGTTTGTTTTTTAAATTATAATCTTCCTAGTGGATGTGAAGTGGCATCTCATTGTGGTTTTGATTTCATTTCCCAAATGGATAATAACATTGAAAGTTTTTTCATATGCTTATTGACCATTTGTATATCTTAGACATTGAAATGTCTATTTAGAACCTTCGACCATTTAAAAATTGGGTATTTGTCTTTTTTTCTTTCTGGAGTTGTAATAGTTCTTTATATACACTGTACACTGGACTCTTACCAGATATATGACTTGTAAATATTTGCTTCTCATTTTATGGATTGTCTTTTCACTTGTGTCCTTTGAAGCATAAAAGTCATTCATTTAACGATGTCCAGTATGTCTGTTTTCTTTTGTTGCTTGTACTTTTGATGTCATATTTGGGAAATCATTGCCTAATCCAAGGTCAAGCAAATTTATGACCGTTTTCTTCTAAGAAAACATTCATGTATGATCTACTTTGAGTTCATTTTTGTATATGGTATATAGTGTGAGCTTTATTTTTTTGCATGTGGCTCTCCAGTTGTCCCAGCATCATTTGTTGAAAGGACTATTTTTCTCTATTGAATGGTTTTGGCACCCTTGATAGTAAATGTGAGGGTTTATTTCTGAACTCTCAATTCTACTTCATTAATCTAGAAGTCTGTCTGTATGTCAGTACCACACTATCTTGATTACTGTAGTTTTATTAGCTTTGAAATCAGGAAGGTTGACTCCTCCAAATTCATTCTTTTTCAAGATTGTGTTGGCTATTCTGGTTTCCTTGCATTTGCATATTAATTTTAGGATCTACTTGTCAATTTCTGCCCAAAAGCTAGCTGGAATTGATGGGTAGTGCATTGACTGTAGATTGCTTTGTGGAGTATTGCCATTTTAAACAATGTTAAGTCTTCCAACCCATGAACATAGAATATCTTTCTATTTATTTAGGTCTTCTTTGATTTTTTTCAACAATGTCTTGTAGTTTTTGGAGTGTAGGTTTTGCATATCTTTTGTTAAGTTTATTCCTAGGTATTTATTGTTTTGATTCTATTGTAAATGAACTTTTTAAAATTTCATTTTTGAATTGTTTATTTCAAGTATATGTAAATATAATTGATTTTTACATATTGGTTTTGTATCTTGCATTCTAATTTTTTTGTGTAGATTCTTTAGGATTTTTTATATTCAAGATAATGCCATTTGCAAATAGATAGTTTTACTACTTCTTTTCTAACACGAGTGTCTTTTAATTCAATTTCTTGCCTGATTGACTAGAAATGGCAAGAGTGGACATGTCTGTCTAGTTTCTGATCTTATAGGGAAAGCATTCAGCCTTTTAACAATAGGGATGATGTTAGCTGTGGATTTTGTAATATTCTTGATCATGTTGAGAAATTCCTTTTCTAGTTTATTGAGTACTTTTATCATGAAGGGGTGTTGGATTTTGTCAAATGCTTTTTCTGTCTCTGCTGAGGTTCTCATGTAATTTTTGTTCTTTTTCCTTTCTTTTCAAAAAAATATATTTTTATTGATTTCAGAGAGGAAGAGAGAGGGAGAGAAAGATGGAAACATCATTGATGAGAGAGAATCATTGATTGGCTGCCTCCTGCACACCCTATTGGGGATTGATTCCACAACTTAGGCATGTGCCCTTGACCGGAATCAAACCCGGGACCCTTCAATCTGTGGGCCAACGCTCTATCCACTGAGCCAAACCAGCTAGGGCTGTTCTTTTTTCTATTGATATTGTATATTATTACATTATTTTTTTGTGTGTTGAACCGATCTTGTGTTCATGGAATACATTCCACTTGGATCCTTTTTATATGTTACTAGAGGTCCGGTGCACGAATTCTTGCATGGGTGGGGGTCCCTCGGCCTGGCCTGCAATTGGGGCCAATCGCCCAGTCTCCATAGGGACGATGGGGGCCGGTCAGGGGGGAAGGACCGCGGGAGGTTGGCGGGCCA